CAGGGACAGGCAGCATAGTAGCAGGTAGGGTAGGTAGAAAAAAGGAGAGCATCAGATTAACCAAGGATCACAGGCAGAAAACAGAGCATCAGCATGGTCTGGGATCATAGGGTAGGGAGCAGAAAGCTGAGCAGCAGCTTGGGTAAGGGAAATGGATCAGAGGTACTTGGCAAGGGTATAGTGCTAATTTGTGGAATGCCTACCAAAAAGGTTGTCCTGTACTCATCCAAGTCATAGAATCATAGAAAAATAGGGTTGAAAGGGACCTCAGGAGGTCATCTAGTCCAATCCCATGCTCAAAGTAGGACCATCCCCAACTATATCATCTCAGTCAAAGCTTTGTTTAGACAGGTCTTGAAAACCTCCATGGATAGAAAGTCCATAGCCACTCTGGGTAACCTGTTCCAGTGGTTTACTACCCTCCTAGGGAGAACGTTTCTCTGAATATCTAACCTAAACCTCCCTTGCTGCAATGTGAGACCATTGCTTCTTGTTCTGTCATTTACCATCACTGAGAAAAGTCAAACTCCATCCTCTTTGGAACCCTCCATCAGGTAGTTGAAAACTGCTATTAAATCCCCTCTAATTCTTCTCTTCTCCACACTAAATGAGCCCAGTTCTCTTAGCCTCTCCTGATAAGGCATGTGCCTCAACCACCTAACCATTTTTGTTGCCCTCTATTCTACTCTTACCAATTTATCTACATGCTTTCTGTAGTGGGGGGCCCAAAACTGGACACAGTATTCCAGATGTGGCCTCACCAGTGCTGCATGGAGAGCAATTATCACTTCCCTCAATCTGCCGGCAGCACTTATACTACTGCAGCACGGTATGCGGTTAGCCTTCTTCATAACAATGGCACATTGTTGGTTTATATTCAGCTTACTGTCCACTGTAACCCCTAGGTCCTTTTGTCCAGAGCTGCTGCTTAGCTGGTCTGTCCCCAGCCTGTAGCGGTGCATGGGATTGTTCCATATCAAATGTAGGACTTTGCAATTGTCCTTACTGAATCTCATGATATTTCTTTTGGTCCAGTTCTCCAACTTGTCCTCATCTCTCTGAATCCTAGTGCTACCTGCCAGCATATATACTGTTTACCTCCTCCTCCCCACCCAGCTTGGTGTTGTCTGCAAACTTTCTGACAGTACATTCCAATCCCATCTTCCAGATTACTAATGAAGATATTGAAAAAAACTGGCCTTGGGACTGGCCCCTGGAGTACTCCACTTGATACTGGCTGCCAAGTAAACAATGAGACATTGACTACTACCCTTTGAGCCCAACGATCCAGCTAGTTTTCTATCCACCTTACAGACCATTCATCTAACCTGGACTTCCTTAGATTGCTTGCGAGAATGTTTCATAGTTTCATAGTTGGTAGGGTTGGAAGGGACCTGAGCAGATCATCAAGTCTGACCCCCTGCTGTGACTGTTATTTCTAGTCACTGCTGGTAGTGCTCAGGGGAACAGGGACTCCCCCAATGCCTGCTGGTCCCCTCTGACTACTTTGTAACAGGCCACTAGATCCCCTCTCGGCCTTCTCTTGTGGAGGCTGAACAGGTTCAGGTCCCTTAACCTCTCCTCATAGTGCCTGCCCTGCTGACCCCTGATCATGCGAGTGGCCCTCCTTTGGACCCTCTCCATGTTGTCCACATCCCCCGTGAAGTGCAGTGCCCAGAACTGGATGCAGTACTCCCAACTGCAGCCTGACCAATGTTGCATAGAGGGTGAGTATTACCTCCTTGGACCTGCTTGAGATGCATCTGTAGATGCATGACAAGGTATGGTTGGCCTTCCTGACCGCTTCCCCACACTGTTGGCCCATGTTCATTTTGGCGTCAATAATGACTCTAAGAGCATTTTCTACCTCTGTACTGACAAGAAGGGAGTTCCCCAGCCTGTAGGTCTGCTGCTGGTTCTTCCTCCCCAGGTTCATCACCTTGCACTTGTCAGTGTTGAAACCCATCCTGTTCTCATCTGCCCACCCCTGTAACCTCTTTAGGTCTGATTGCAGCCTATTCCTCCCTTCTGGTGTGCCCACTTCCTCCCACATCTTAGTGTTGTCTTCAAATTTGAACAGGGTACTTTTTACCCCCTCGTCCAAGTTGCTGATGAAGATGAACAGTGCGGGCCTGAGGACCGAGCCCTGCGGAACCCCACTGCCCACATCCCTCCAGGTCGAAAATGACCCGTCCACCACCACTCTCTGGGTGCGGCCCTCCAGCCAACTACTGACCCATTTGACTGTGTAGGTGTTGATGCCACAGTCCTGTAGTTTTTTAATGAGAATGGGGTGAGAGACAGTGTCGATGGCCTTCTGAAAGTCCAGGAAGACTATGTCCACTGCAACCCCTGCATCTAAGGATTTTGTGACCTGGTCATAGAAGGCCACCAGGTTGATCTGACTGCCCCTAAGAAACCCATGTTGGGTGCCCCTGAGCATAGTCTTCCCTGCTGGCCCCTTGTGGACATGCGCCAGCATAACTCTCTTAAAAAGCTTACCTAAGACTGAGGTAAGACTGACTGGAGTAGTTTCCTGGGTCCTCCTTCCTCCCTTTTTTGAAATGGGAACCACATTGGCCCTTTTCCAGTCCTCTGTGGGATAATATATCAAAAGCCTTGTTAAAGTCAAGGTATATCACATCCATTGGTCTACCCACATCCACCGAGCCAGTCATCTAATCATAGAAGGCAGTCAGGTTGGTCAGGCATGACTTGCCCTTGGTGAATCCATGCTGACTGTTCCTAATCACCTCTTTTCCTCCAAGTGCTTAGAAATGAATTCCTTGAGGATCTCCTCCATGATTTTTCCATGGACTGAGGTGAAGCTGACCAGTCTGTAGTTCCCTGGATCCTCCTCCTTCCCTTTATTAAAGATGGGCACTGTATTTGCCTTTTTCCAATTGCCTGGGACCTCTCCCATCCACCAAGATTTCTTGATGATGGCCAGTGGGTCTGCAATCAGATCAGCCAACCCAGCACCCTTGGGTGTATTGCAGTTGGTACCATGGACTTGTACACATCCAGCTTTTCTAAATAGTCCCTTTCGTGTTCTTTCACCGCTGTTGGCTGCTCATCTCCTCCCCAAACTGTGCTGCCAAGTGCAGTGCTCTGGGAGCTGATCATACCTGTGAAAACTGAGGTGAAAAAGGCATTGAGTACTTCAGCCTGTTCTACATCCTCTGTCACCATGTTGCTTTCAGTTACCCATTTTGTAAGGGACCCACGCTTTTCCTGATCTTCCTCTTGTTGCTGACATAATTGTAGAAACCCTTCTTGTTCCCCTTTATGTGCCTTGCTAGCTGCAATTCAAATTGTGCTTGGGCCTTCCTGACTTCATCCCTGAATGTCTGAGCAATATTCTTATACTCCTCTCTAGGCATCTGTCCAAGCTTCCAGTTCTTGTCAGCTTTTTTTTTCTGTTTAAGATCACTGAAGTATTCTCTGCTAAGCCAAGCTGGTTGCCAGCCATATTTGCTATTCTTCCTGCACATCAGGATGGTTTGGTCCTGCTTCCTAAGTAAGGTTTCTTTAAAGTACAGGCAGCTCTTCTGTATTCCTTTCCCCATCAGAGTAGCCTCTCAGGGGATCCTGCCTATCCTGGACACCCAGGGGTCCTGTCCGTCAGTTCTCTGAGTCAAAGTCTGCTTTTCTGAAGTCCAGGGTCCTTACTCTGCTGCTCTCCTTCCTTCCTTTCCTCAGGATCCTGAACTCAATCATCACACGATTGCTGCTGCCCAAGTTGCCATCTATTACTACATTCCCCACAAATTTTTCCCAGTTTGTGAGCAGCAGATCAAGAAAATTACAGCACCTAGTTTGTCTATCCAGCATTTGCACCAGGAAGTTGTCCACGACACTCTTTAAAAACTTCCTGGATTCTCTGTGCACTCCTATATTGCTCTCCCATCAGATATCAGGGTGATTGAAGTCCCCCATGAGAACCTGGGCCTGTGATCAGAAAACTTCTGTTAGGTGTTTGAAAAAAGCCTCATCTACCACATCCTCCTGATCAGGTGGTCTATAGCAGACCCCCACCATAACATCACCCTTGTTACTTTCCCCTCTGACCCTAACCCAGAGACTTTCAACAGTTCTAGCTCCAGTTTCATACTGGAGCTCTGAGCAATCGTACAGCTTTTTTACATAAAACGCAACTCCTCCTCCTCTTCTCCCCGTCTGTCTTTCCTGAACAGTGTATACCCATCCATGACAATGCTTCAGTCATCTGAGCTATCCCACCAAGTCTCTGTTATTCCAATCACTTCATAGTTCCTTGACTGTACGAGGACTTCTAATTCTTTCTGCTTGTTTCTCAGGCTCCATGTATTGTGTGTACACATGAGGTAGTTAGGTGATTGCCCTATTTTCTCAGGAAGAATGAGAGTGCCTCCCGTGTTGCCCTTTCCTGCCTGTGCATCCTCCAGGTCATCCACTTCCCCACTTATCTAAGGGCTTTGGTCTCCATCCCCTGGTGAGCATAGTTTAAAGCCCTCCTCACTAGGTTAGCAAGCCTATCTGCAAAGATTCTCCTCAGGTGGATCCCATTTCTTCCTAGCAATCCGTCTTCTTGGAACAACATCTGATGGTTGACGCCCTGCTGGTGACATCATCTGCACAGCCACGCATTGATCTGCAGGATGTGGCTGCTCCTGCCTAGGCCATTCCCTTTGACTGGAAGGATCAAGAACACCATCTAAACCCCTGTCCCTTTCATGCTTGCACCCAGAGCCCTGTAGTCCTTTTTGATTTGCTCAGGGTCTGCCTTGGCAATGCCCACATGGGTGAGCAGCATGGGGTAGTAGTCAGAGGGCCGGATAAGCCTTGGTAATCCCTCCCTGACATCTCAGATCTGGGCTCCAGGCAAGTGGCAGACCTCCCGGGACAACAAATCAGGCCAACAGCTGGATACCTCTGCCCCCACAGAAGGGAGTCTCCAACCACCACCAGCTGTCGCTGCTTCTTGGTGGCAGTTGTCTTGATCCTTCCGAACTTGGGAGGCCTGGCCTTGCCACTTCCACCAATAGAATGTGCACCTCCTCCACTATTGCTGGGGCTCCATATATGTTCTCCAAGCAAACTGCTGTAGGTGGAGATAAAGATTTCTGCTCACTGCTAGAGGTCACAAGCTTCCAGCTTCCACCATCCTGGGAGTCCATGTCCTTTCCCTTCTTTATCTCTTCCTCTGGCAGTCCTTCCTTTACAGTCCTAGAGATCTCCTCCAGCACTGAATCAGTGAAGTCCTTATGATGGAGGATGCTTTGGAGCCTTGCCACCTCCTCCTGTAGCTCTGTTGCCTGCCCCCTGAGGGACACCACTAGGAGGCACCGCTCCTAGTGCAGGCAGAACCCCACTTGACTGTCACTGGAAGAAACCTGCAAGCTGCAGTCTCCACAGCGCCAAACCAGGACCTGGGTGGAAGCCTCAACAGTGAGCAGTCCTGCCTGGACAGAGACCTCACAGGTGCAAACAGAGGAAGGGCTGGCAGTGGCAGTAGCTCTGGTATTGCAGCATCCTCCAGCCATTTCTCTGGGTCTTTCAATCCACTGCCTCTCTCTTGCTGACTGTCTTTCCAAGCAGACCTTCCCTAGCAAACTCTCCTATAAGCTAGTCTGTTCACTGCTCCTTGGTCCTGAAAGGTTCCTGGTTCCGTGCTTCTTCTCACCAAGCTTACAGTGAAGGAATGTGAGAGAGAGTTTATTGGCAAACTCCCTAGCAAACTGCACCTCACTTGGGTCTCTAGTTAAGCCAGGGACTAAGTATTGGTCGAACTGCTGAGTTTTAACTACTTACACTAAATATATGTAGATTAGCTACTTTTCATGAAAAAAAGAGCTTGCTTTAAAGGCTCCCCTTCAAAGAGGGGGGTGGCAAACTGACCTGTGAACTGACTTGCAAATTGCTTGCAAACTACTAGCCTTGTTTGCTGTCCCTGTTCATTAATGAAAATATTGAATGTGCTGGACACATAACAGAACATCACTTGATGCATCTTTCTGGAGTGACTGTGAACCACTGATAAGTACTTTCTCAGTATGGTTTCTAACCAGTTGTTTCTTTTCATCTACACCTGGGTTCTCAAACATACAGCCCACAAGCCAGATCTGGTTTATAGAGCCCCATAAAGTGGTCCTTGGTGCTTCCCTGTTCACCCACCACTGCACTGCACTGCACTGGACCCATGCGGCATGTGACTTTTGCTCGGGCCAGGTCCCAGGTTGCTGAGAGCTCTTGAGTTTCAGTCAGGTCCGTAAGAACCATTTCCTGAATTTTTTTCCAGCTGATATAACAACATCAAATGCCTTAATAATCTCTCTCTAATCTTCCGTGCCCTAGCTTGAGTTTTGATTTCATTGTTGTTGATTCAAATCGTATTAAATGTCTAAACATAGCAAATATTTTGGGAGAAGACTGATGCAAAAAAGGCTGTAAGCACTTCAGCCTTCTTGGTATCTTGTTTTATTTCTATCACTTAAGTATAGTGGACCAACTCTTTCCTTGGTCTTTTTATTGCTACTGATGTATTTAAAGGATAAATCTATGTGGCTCATGTAATGCTAAGCAGTTATAACCCAGGATACTATGTGTACTTTGTGTACATTGCTCAAGGGAGCACTGGGCAGAGATACATAAGCTATGTCGACACTTGCTAGCTTCAAAACAGAAAACAGTATTAAGACAGTGGTCTGCTTAGTTAACTAGTTGCTCTCAGTGTAGAATTTATTAGCCTTGGCAGAGTCCCAAGCGCAGCTATACTGCTTCTAGTTCCTAAGCTAGTGTGCACAAAGTTAGCCGCCCTGGTATCTGCATGGTGCTGCCTTGCTCCATGTAGTCAGTCATAGAATGTCATTATCCTTTGTGTCTCTTCTTAACTACCTTATTTTCTCGCATACAGCAGGTGCCTTTTCACCAAAAGTCAGCTCCTCAAAACTGGGGTGCCTATAATAACTGGGGAAGCTGATTTTCTTTCTGGGGTTGGAAGCATCATGGTTTGATTTTTGCTCTACAGTGTAGCAGTTCTGCAGTTATTCATTTTTCTTTGCTCTACAAGTGTTAACAATCATCTTTCCTTTTTAATAATCTTCATGTTTCACTAATCAAGCTAACCTTTCCTAGGGCAGCATAAATATAAATATTAATTAATTAGTTAACATGAGCTGTGTCTTTCAGAATGTATGAGTTCATACGAATATTACTAAATTGGCAAACACCTTTTATCTATATCCAAAAAGCTTGATAATTTATTAAGAGAACACATCTGTATTTATAGTATAGTTGAGCTGAACAATTTTTTTTCACTGAAAATGGTTTTGTAACTGAAAAATATCCCTTTGTCTGAATGAACATTTTCAATTAAAGACTAAAAAAAATTGAAAGTTTTTGGTTTGAGGTTTTTCATCCCTACCCTTTATCCCATTTCTCTTCTATTTCTTTTTTTTCCCCCAAGGGGCTTGTGTGGTAGCTGAAAACCATATAAGATGGTTGGATACATATCCATTGTAGCCAAACAAATAAATATATAATGTAAGTTAAGTTCAGATTTACAAAACAAGACCAAAAGCATTTAATTAAAAAAACAGAAGAGAAAAGAAAAAAAAAAGGGCTGTTCCTGGCAGCTCCTTTAGGGAATAAAGGTATACATTCTCTCTCCCTTTCCATGGTGGAGGTTCTTGAGCTCTGGGTTTTTTTGAATGTGTAATCCGAGCATTTGTACATCTACTGCTCCATAGCCACGAAGCTAGCTATACTTCATGATACAGAATTGCTCTCTTGATGCAGAAAATTCACATTTAGCACTAGAAACAACATTCTAAATGCTAGCCTACTGCCTGGAAGTGCTTTTTTTCTTTCCATATTTCTCCTTGAGTATCTTTGTGAAAGCCAGTTCTGTCCTCTGCTAAGTATTGTTATCTTCTAGCTAGCTGTATAAGCTGCATTAGCTGATGCTTCCTCTACATTAGGCATGAAAGTCTGAACAAAGCAACTAATAAGGGCAAAGAAATGATAGAAAGCAGCACAGAAATTAGAAAGTTAGAAATAAGAAATGATGAGAGAGAAAGATAATATACATGTCTGGTCATAAGAAGAAGTCTTGCAGTGCCAAGGAAGACAAAGAAAAAGGAAGAAGATGAATCAAAGCAAGCTTTTTTTAAAGAAAAAATACGTACCCTAATTTGGATTTTCTCACCTGTGGTTATAGTGACTTTCACCTTTATTTTGAAGCAAATTATTCATTATAACTGTCGCTGGAAGGTGTTGTAAGGCTTTGGGGACCTCTTTGTTGGCGCCTTCCCCCCCAGCGACATCAGGGTGAAACCTTATTCCGGTACCACCTAGATGGTCTGGGTGCTTCCCCTTTTCTCGCTTGCCACGTCTTCAGTGTTACTGTTGGGGAGGCAGTTCCTTGTCAGGGGCCCGGAGGGGTCTCGACCCTGTGGGTGTCTTTGTGGGGCTCCAAACCTCCCCTTTACCCCACCCTTACCATGTCCCTGGCCTGGGTAGATGCTGTTCCCCACTGGTCTTCCCCACACTGCCCGCCTTGAAAGTCTTCCTGGCCATTAACCTTTGGGGGCCCATCCCTTGCCTTCGGGCTGGTTTCCCCTCTTCTAGAAAATAAACTTGCCCCAGCTGGGGTCAACTGCGATTTAACTGAAAATGCTGGCATCTGCCAGTGGAGCTCCCAAGATCGTCTCCCTCTCTCAGGGTCCCTTTTCTTTCCCTTCAGGGCACTTACTAGTCCCCTCCCCTCTCACAGTTGGGGGGCCTGAGGATGACCCTGTGCCCCTTTCCTACCAGTTCTTTTGGCGTCCCTGCACTGGAGCCCAGCTGACCTGAGGTCCCATCTTCCTGGTCCTTCCTGCTGGTGTCACCCCTCTTTCCCTTTAGGGGGCTCACAGTCCTCCATGCTTTGCCTCCTCCAAGGCTATCTGAGGATGGCTGTGGCCTTGAGGGTCCACCCTGAACCTCAGTACCCGGGCTCCCGGTCCGAGCTGTGCCACCCCCCAGCAGGGCTCTTTTGCCCTTGCAGATCTCCGAGCCTGCCTCCAGCCTCACCGGCCGGGGTCCCCCAGCGGATGGCTGGCTCCTTCCCTGGCTGGCTGGGGCTAGAGCTGGAGCCTCCCAGTTCCAAAGCCAGCATCTCCCAGCTGATGTCTTCCTGCTCTCTCCCCAGCTTGCCACCAGCTGGTTCCCCAGCTGCCTTTTGAGCAGCCCGCACTGCTCAGGAGCCACCCCCCACAACTCTTGCTGATACGCAGGCTCAGGCAGCTGCGAAACTGCTGAGCCTGTGCCTGTGTTGGCGCTGGTGTTCGGGTCTCTTTCCAGCTGCCGCCCGTCTCTATTCCTGCAGTAAGTGTAGGGGTGCACTGATCAGGGTCTGGGCCACGCTGAGGGAGGCTCCTGCCTCCCCTCTCACAATAACATAATCAAGTAGCAGCAAAGGTTTTCTCTACTTTAGGTGTGGACACAAAAAACTTTTACTCCAGAACATTTTGAATTTACTCTTTTGTAAAAGTGGAGCAGACACAAGACCAGCAGCCCTACTCTGAGGTAAAGTTACTGCTCAGGGAACGTGTCTTTACATGCTATTAGCATGCAGCAAGTAACTGCAGAGCATATCACACCAGAACTTATTACTCCTGAGTGTGCCTTTGAACATGCGCCTGTAACTGCAGCACATTGAGCTGGGATGGAGCAGTCCTGGCTGGCAGGGAGCCGGGGGGGTCAGCCTGAGGCTATTCTGAGCTCAGTGTGCTAGTGAAGGGCTGGCTGGAGCGTGAGGATGCTCCAGTGTGGGGCTAGCTGGCAGGCAGCCCCCACACTGAAGTACCCTTGAGTCCCAGCCTGCTGTGTTGGCATCTACGTGTGCGGTGCTGCAGAATAAAATGCTCTGCAGCAGGATAGTACCTGTATGTACAAGTACTACCCTACTGTGGAGTTGATTAGTTTCCTGCAGCCTAGTGGGGCCACACATGTAGGTG